GTATAATCCATAAATGAATAGAATATGGATATATCTGTCTATCTTTTATCCAAATCGATAAGAATAATCATTTGATTCGATTCGATAATTTAACGGATATTTAATAGTTGATTTCATATTCGTTTTGCTATATTATCGAATCTATGATAATATGATCCGATCATAAATTAAAGATTAGAAAAAAAATGGATGTTGGAATCAAATTTTTTTTTTCCAATTTTTCCAATTCTTAAACCGGGTTAATAATTATAAATTTCTCAATTTTTTATGTTTTGAATTTGATAATTTTTTTGTTCTATTTTTTTATTTTAGTGACAAAAAATATGATATAAAAAAATTATTGATTCAATTATTTATAATAAATCGGATCGGATTGACCTACATCTATATTTGATCCATTTAATTAAAGGATTATTAGATTCAGATCTTGATTGAATTATCGAATTGAGACCATAAATCTATCTCTCATTAATTTAATTGAATTTGAATCAAATTCAATCTATTGACAGCTCTTTTGCCCACTCCTCTGTTGAGTCCCATCTCGAAAATCACACTTCATTTCAAAAGTCGTCCCGCATTCTTCGTGCACGTTTTGTCGTACTACAAGCTCGCATTTGGTATGAATAATAATAATTAGAATATAGGCGTTGTTTGGCTATTTTTAAAATTAATTATTCTTCAAACTCATTTAACCATTTATTAAAATAATTTTACACATAAACTTAAAAATAAATTCTATTTTTAACTAGACATTATTTAAAAAATCACTTTGTTATATAATATACTTTCAAAAAATCTCTACCAAACAGCGACTATTAATAAATAAAATTTTAATTTATTTTTCTTTCTTACTAATCTCTTCTCCAATATATTCAATCTGATGCAACAATTTTAAAGGGAAGACTTGTAAGATTCTTGTTTGCATACTGCTTATTTTAACAATTTATTGTTCTTAACTATAATTACTACTCAGATTTCTTCCGTTTTATCGATTTTGTTCGGATCCTCCTTTTCTTCCAAAAAAAGGAGGAGAATGATCTTTTTCGACAGATCTCTCCTGTTCTAGTTTAGTCCCATGGGAGTGATTTGAACGTTTTCACGTTGAGCAGTGTAAAGTCCATGTGGCGAGGGCATCTGGATATAAAGAAAGAAGATGACGGCCCAAGCATTCAAAAATTTCGTCCGCTAGACTCTTGGAGTAATTGAACTTGACGTTGTGATCGGACCGTACCAGTTCAAGATCAAAATTAATGTGGTAGATATCGAGATGTATGGTTTTTTCTAAGCATATTTGCGATTATCCATACTAAATATGTCTTGATAGCACTTAATTTTTTTTTATTTTTTCCTTTCTAAATTCCATTTTAGAGTACTTCAAATATTCAATTTAACGTATTAAATATGTCGAAGAGTAATAGTAGGATGCACTGTTGTGGCAACCAAAACGACATATTGGCATTACAAATAGATCGTTATATAATACACTGCACACTTTAATCACTGGATTGTAATGCATATATTGCTCATTTTAATTGATTAAAAGTGGGTTCGGGATTTAGTTCAACAACTGAATTTGTTAACTAATTGCAAAATCCTTGGAACATTTAGGGCATGTTTGATAGCTCAAGATTTTTCATGGAAAATGGAAAACATTTTCCAACTTTGCATTTTGCCTTGTTTGATGCAAAAAAAATTTCATGGAATTACCTTTCTTGATTTGATTCACACGGGTGCAATTTCTTTGAATTGGTGGAAAACCAATTCCCACCAAACCTTTTTTTTTTTTTTTGGCAATGGAAAGATATTCTATCCACAACTATGAAAATTTTTTCCCTTTAATGGACAATTTATATAAAAATAAAGTCAAACGAAAATCAAAAGATCCAAATTTTCAACATTTTTCAGGCGAAAAATTATACCAATCAAACACAATTAATTATAATTCTCAGTAAAACTATTTATAGGCAATTCAATTCCCTGGAATTCATTTTCTTTCAACTCGTTTTTCACATTTTCAATCAAACGGACCCTTATAGCAAATCATTGATGAACTTTTGGATTTTGCAATCCAAGTAAATTTAATAGCATTAAAATCCTCAGAATGATTGTGAGATTATGTTAAAGCAAATGATCTAAAATAGGAAAAATATCTAATAGAATTAGAATTTCGACAAGTATAACAAAACGAGCATTTGGTCATAAAATCAAATGGATCCAAATGCAAGGTATTACAATGTTGTCAAAGTTTATTTAATATCATATTAAGCGGATACTTCTAAATCTCAAAGAAGCGGATACTTCTAAATCTCAAAGAAACATCCTAAACAAACAGATGTAAATCCATTTTTCAGTAAGGATACAGATCTTCATTTGCTTAAAACATCGGACAAACATGTTCAATTCAGGTATACTGGAAATTCCTTGATGTGGTAGCCGTTGGAAATTTACCAAACATGCATAGTGAAAAATGTGGTAGCTGTTGGAAATTTACCAAACATGCACAGTGAAAAATAAAATAAATTTCAATTCTTACCAAGGATCTTATTTGTGTTTAGAAAGAAATTGTGATGGAAATTACACATTTTGTAGATTTTGCAAACTTTTTTGCTAATCTTAGAACACGAATAATCATGATTTACAATTCACAGCTATCCATTTTGTCCAACCTCCAATAAAAAATCCACACATGGAACAAGAATGAGAGAATTAGGGTTTCTCTTTTCTTGTGTTAGTAAGAATATAAATTATGTTCTCTTCTTCTCTGAAACTCTAATGTCTTATTATTATAAGTTCAAGTGGGTTTGGTCTGTCTCTTACGTTGACCTACGATTAACTCTATTTGTTTTGATTATAACAAACAATACATTTATGTTTCTAACATTTCTAGTTTCTTGAGTTTTTTCATGTATAATTCTTCCTAAACACTAAAAGGCACAAATCTTCATCCATTGAAGAACAAACAATCCAAAGAGACTCAAAGAAATCAAGAACCATAAAGAATTAGAATCTTAGAAATTGCTTCAATTTATATGTAAAGGTATAACTCATCAATCTTAGCAAATGCATAAAGCTCAAACCATTCTCATAAATTCATCAATTGCATAAAAAACTATTTTT